AGTTATTCTACTGCATTTGGGGGACAACTTATAAGGACAAGGTTTCTGGATGGTATTGTCAGGTCCATGATTGAAAGACAGATGGGAAAATGAATTCACTGGACTAGAAGGGATAGTTTTTCTGGTAATTTTTCCAAGGATGATAGAAGCATGAACCAGTGGGTAAGGGAATTGGGCATATGAATGCGAGGTCTGAAAAGGGGGCTGCTAGAGAGACAACTGTTAAGTGGAGCTCTTCAGATTGTTGTCTTGAGGGGGAGTGTGGAGACTTAAATAGGTGCCTAATTGGAGTAAAAACAGAAATCACATGACAAATGGTGGGAGATACCGTGAACAAAGGCTGCCTTGAAGGGGGATAATTTAGGAGAACTGAAATCAGAAGAGAAAAGTTTATGCAGGTGCTGACGTGACTGACAAAGTGAAAATGTGCAGTGGAGCAAGATGAGCACGATGAGTGATGCTGTGGGAAGAGTGAGCACAACAAATGGCACAGACTACAGCTGAGATGAGAATGTTGTTATAAACCTGTGATTTTTATGAGTATGTGTCCTTGACAGTATGACCTTTACTTGGCTGAGTGGGTTGGGACTTCCCTATTCTATGATTTTTTTTTAAAACATTCACTACATATCATCTCTATTCCATACACCAGTGAACAAGTCACAGTGCTGACCCTTAAGGAGCTCATCATATATTGGGACTGGAATAGTTCCGTGTGGTAAATGCTAGACAGAAAAATAGATAGCTGCAGGGCAATGTAGGCATAATCTAATCTTGGGAAATGACAAAAGTCTTCCTGAGTGAAAAATATAAACTGGCTACTTTAAAGGGAAGATGAAGATAAAGGAAGTGGATTGTATAAAAGACCACAGCCCTACCTGATTTGGCTCAGTGGATAGAACATCGGCCTATAGACTGAAAGGTCCCGGGTTCGATTCTGGTCAAGGACACATGCCTGGGTTGCAGGCTCCATCCCCAGTAGGGAATATGTGGGAGGCAGTCAATTAATGATTCTCTCTCATCATTAATATTCTATATATCTCTCTCCCTCTTTCTTCCTTTCTGAAATCAATATAGATTTTTAAAAATATATAAATAAATAAATAAATCACAGAGAAAGAAGAGCAAATTCAGAGACATGCATTTGTCCATTATTGGTAGAAAAGCAGAGAAGGTGTGCACTTAATCTATTAGGCAATGGAAAATTATTCTCTATTGTCAAGAAAGTAGCATGCTCTGAATTAGCTTTTTTTTTAAAATATATTTTATTGATTTTTTACAGAGAGGAAGGGAGAGAGATAGAGAGCTTGAAACGTCGATGAGAGAGAAACATCGACCAGCTGCCTCCTGCACATCCCCCACTGGAGATGTGCCCGCAACCAATGTACATGTTCTTGACTAAAATCGAACCTGGGACCTTTCAGTCTGCAGACCAACACTCTACCACTGAGCCAAACCAGCTTCAGCTGAATTAGCTTTTAAAAACATAATTTATACAGAGTGGGGCAAAAGTAGGTTTGCAGATGTGAGTATGTGAAACATAGAATTTATGCTTGTATTATTGTTTATTAATTATTGTATTAATTTCCATACTAATAACTGTAAACCTACTTTTGCTCCACTCTGTATGTGGAGACTGGTTTGGAGCCTAGAAGGACTCCAGATGAGGAAGTCAGTTGGGAGGTCTTTTAGTAAGTGGACCTGAAGCTTAAAAAGCAGTATAGGTGGCAAATATAAATTTGCAAGGTATTAGTATATGCAGGCTACATAAAGCCAAAGTAGGTGGAAAGATCTAGCCAGGGAGAGTGAAGAGTGAGGGGAACCTAGAAATAGGAAGCCCCTTGGTGAGTATCCAGCAAGGACAGAGGAGCCCTTAATAAGGACTGGAAAGGAAGGTCAGGGACAAGGGAAGAACTAGAACTGAGTAGAAAAATCAAAGCCAAATCTAGAGTTTCATGAAAGGCGTGATTCTGAAAAAAAGAAGAGAGACAGACAGGAAGTAGTGAGACAGGTTAGCAGAATAAAATATTTTTATTTTTGCTATTAATTTTTGTTTGTTTTTAAGGTTAAAATGTTCATAAATAATAAAGTTAAAGATCTAAGAAATTAAGACAAACTGGGGATGGAGAAGAGGGGAGATAATTGATGGAACAAAGTCCTTGAGGAGGTGGAAAAGAAAAAGAACTCAGAGAATAGGTGGGGAAATTATTCTTGAAGATATACATACATACAAACTTATGCACATATACATGCATATATAAACATATACATCACTGCAACTGAGGATATGTGTGTACCTAAAGAACATTAAGCTAAATGAAATAAGCCAGTCAGAGAATTAAAAATACCATATGATTTCTCTTATATATGAAACCTAATGAACAAAATGAATTAACAAGCAAAACAGAGATAGATTCATAAATAGAGAGCAGGCGTACAGCTGTATTTGTGGGGTAGTGGGAGCTGGGGGGAGGGGCAGAAGAACTGAGCAAAATAAATAAATAAATAAATAAATAAATAGGAAAGAAAGAAAAAAAAATAAACTCTTGGACACATAGTGCAGTGATTGCCAGGGAGGGGGAATTAAGGGGAGTAGAGGAGAGTTTAGGGAAGATAAATGGTGATGAACAGAGACTTGACCTGGGGTAGTAAACACACAATACACTATACAGATGGTGTGTTATAGAATTGTGCACCTTAAACTTGTATAATTTTGTTAACCAGCGTCACTCACTCCAAAAAATTCAATAAAAAATAAAAATAAAAATAATTTAAGGCTGCAAAAGAGAAAGGTAACTATGTGAAATGATTGATGTGTTAATTAACTTGATTGTGGTAATAATGTCAAAATGTATTCACATATTAAGCTATATTTACACTTTGTATAGATATAATTTGTATTTATTACTTATGCCGCAACAAAGCTAAAAATTTCAAATTAAGTAAAAAACTAACTATAAATTTATTTTTTAGAAAGTCAATAGTTTAACAATCTATTGGGTCTTCCCATTTGTGTCCATGGTATATATCTCCATTTGTTTACATTAAAAAAATCTTTTCCAGCAATATTCTGTATTCTCAGTGTAGAGGTTTTGCAAATTTGGGCTAAATTTATTTTTAGTATGTTATATTTTTAACATACATTTCATATGTTTCTATGTTTGTATTGCACTACAAATTTTTAAAATGTATTGTACAGTTATTTGCTGCTAGTGTAGAAATATACAATTGGCTTATTTTATCTTTACACTCTATAAATAAAAAATAAATAAATAGCCTCAGGGAGCTTTCTTGTTCCTAGATAGAGGAAAACATAACTATAACAAGGGAGACATTGAAAGGCAGAAGGGACATTGATACTAGTTTCTCTGAGAATGGAGGAAATGAGAGGAGGATGGGTACAGAGATAAGATAAATTTACAAGAGAGGAGTAATATGAGCAGTTGTCTCCTGATAGTCTTGAAGTCTCCATTATGTAGGCATAAATTCAGTTGAAAGGGAGGAATGATCATTTGGGCATTGGTAAATTTATATATTCACTGTGAGTGTAATTCAATAGAAAGGAGGAAGAGTCAATGGGCTAAGATGTAGTTGACTCTATTTATATGGTTGTATCATTTCTTCCACATTCTAAGAGGTGAGGAAAACACTGGTTAGATTTAATTGAAGCCTGAACATTTTCATAGAGAATGATGCAGAAATCAATTAGAGCTGAGACATTATTGGTGCGGGGACCTGATGTGGAGGGGGCCAAACATGGCAGGGATCTCCCTTTTCCGTGTCCAGTGCAGAAAGAGAGATGAAGGAACAGATTCTAAGTGGAGGCGGCCAGGTATTGAGAAATAATAGAAGACACAGAAATAGATTTAAAGCTAGGGTCTGTGTGGGATGCCATCCTTCCTCTCTGACGGAAAGGCTACAAGGACGACCTGACCCCTCCTAGCGCATTTATTTTATACCCCCAATACCAGGAAGTAATACCAAAATTTAGGATCAAAGGAGCTTATTTGCATTCTTAAGTAGGCCCTAGCTTGCCTGGATTTACATATCTAGATCTGCCCCTGCCAACGCCTGGGCTTGATATGAAGGCCAAGCTGATTACACTTCTGCCATCTTGGGGAAATGTGTATCTGAGCCTCAGCTCTGCCCATTGCCTTGGACTCAGCTGACAATTTAAGGAAAATGTCCATGTGCCTTCCTAGTGGCACTCTATATCTGGTCCTGGCAGAAGACATGGACATGTAGATTGTAGAATAGGCTTGAAAGAAAGTAAAAAAAATTTCTTACATCAGTGGTTTGTAAACTTTAGCGTGGAGACAGAATGCTGCCTCCAACCCCAAGGGTGGGAGGGTCCACGAATTTTATGTTGGTGCTGATGCTGGTCTGGACACCACACTTTCACAAGCATCGCTCTACACATGCTAGGTGACAGCCTCACACTTCAGTCACAAAGGTGACTCAGGAAGCACCACACAGCTTAATAACATTTCCACAGACAAGATTTAATTTAACACACCAGTAAGATAAGCATTGTGCTCATTGAAAGGTCAAAAAAATTGTTACTCAGAAGATAGTGTCTTGTCCAAAATCATACAGCCTGACAGAGCAGATCTCTGACATGGGACTGCCACCTGACGCTTTTGCAATTTATTACAATTTACATAACCATAGAGATTGCTTTTTTTACTTTCTAGCTAATCCTGCTCTTTTCAGAACCTGAGTCACTGTGCTAAACCTGGTAATGTGTTTCCAGAAAGTCTTACAGCTATGTGGAGAGCCTGGCTATGGGCAGGGGTCTGTAACTTTGCACTTTGTGTAAAACTCATGTGTGACTGTCTAAAGGGGAAAATGCCTGTGTACAGAGCCCATAAGGGTTGGAGTACCTGTGAGTATGCGCAGACCTTGTGGTTGTTTGCAAGCTTTTATGTGCACTCTGCTAATGTTTACTGTGTCTGAAGCTACTTCTCTCCTGCGCACAGGTGAGGGTTCTACAGAAAATCATGGCTCTCTTGTCTGCGAACAGCAGAGCTGCTGCAAACAACTCAGACACTCGCATGGCAGGCTGCCTCCTCATCGGCATCCCTGGGCTGGAGTATCTACACATCTGGCTCTCCATCCCCTTCTGTACCATGTATGTAGCTGCCCTGGCAAGCAACAGCATTTTAATTTGTGTTATTCTCTCCCAGCCAAGCCTGCATGAGCCCATGTACATATTTTTGTCCATGCTGGCCAGTGCTGATGTCTTGCTCTCCACTGCCACGATGCCCAAAGCACTGGCCAACTTCTGGTTAGGTTCTAGCCACATTTCCTTTGACGGCTGCCTCACCCAGATGTTCTTCATCCACTTCCTCTTTGTGGCCGACTCTGCAGTCCTGTTGGCCATGGCCTTTGACCGCTATGTTGCCATCTGCTCCCCTCTGCGGTACGCCACCATCCTCACAAGCACGGTCATTGGGAAGATCACTGCCGCCACCTTGACCCGCAGCTTCATCATCATGTTTCCATCCATCTTTCTCCTCAAGCGCCTGCACTATTGCCGGGTCAACATCATTGCACACACATTTTGTGAGCACATGGGCATTGCCCGTCTGTCCTGTTCTGATATTTCCATCAATGTCTGGTATGGGCTGGCAGCTGCTCTACTCTCCACTGGCCTGGACATCATCCTTATCGCTGTTTCCTACATTCGCATCCTCCGAGCTGTCTTTCAACTCCCTTCTCAAGATGCCCGGTCCAAGGCCCTGAGCACTTGTGGCTCCCATGTCTGTGTCATTCTACTCTTCTACATTCCTGCCCTCTTTTCTGTCTTTGCCTATAGATTTGGTGGGAGATTCATCCCAAGCTATGTCCACATCCTTCTGGCCAATCTCTATGTGGTCATCCCACCAATGCTCAACCCTATTATTTATGGAGTGAGGACCAGGCCAATTTTGGAAGGGGCTAAACAGATGTTTTCAAACCTTGTCAAGGAATATAACTAAGGGTTTCCAACTTGAGCTCAACTTAATCCCCTTTCTTATTTATTTTTTCATATTTCATATTCACCATATCTTCATCTCTATATCTTCCGGTTATCTTGTGTCATTCTCACCCATATCCTAATTTATTTAAATGAATGTTCTACTCAAATTCTTGGTCCCCAGATGGAAGTGGTATTGGAGGCTGAGTGAAAAAGGTGAAAGGAATTTAGAAGTACCAATTGCCAGTTATTAAAATCATCACAAGAATGTAAAGTACAGCAAAGGAATATAGTCAATAGCATTGTATGGTGTCAGATGTACTACAAAAGGGCACAGGCTGGGCTGAGGGACCATTCCTCCTCCAACCCCCAGTGCACAAATGTTGTGCACTGGGCCTCTAGTAAATAAATAATGCTATGTAATATATACTTACTATCAAATATTAATCAATCACTAACAATAATGTTTATAAACAGTTTTTATTAGTTTGCAAAAATGTTTCTGGCAGAATATAGAATACAAATGAGTGAATAAAATAAATGTTCTACTAAAATCCACCTTTGATTTCTTTGTTTAGAAATTTATAGACATATCCACCTCACTTTCTTCTATTATTCAAATCCCTTCTTTTCTTCAGCATCTCAGGAAAAAAAAAAAAAAAAAACTAACTGAGGAAAATGTAATAACTTATCTGGAATCTACCATCCAAATCAAACTTTTCCCAGTATTCACTTATATTTTCTAACGACTTACCTAATCCTTGCATGCATTTTTGATTACCAGTGCAATATCTTTCTTACAGTTGGAACCCCTGAGAATTCTCATGTCTAAAAATTGATAGTTCCATGAAATGATATTATTTTTATTTCCAATTACATATGTCCATAATCACAGAGGTGTTCAAAGATGCTAACACACAGCAACATATGTAGGTGGACACATCTTTTTAACAAAATGTAGATAATTGTATAGGAATAGAGCTCTCTTTTCCATCCAAATATGTTTTGTATTTAAAAATTATATTCATCATTAAAGTGAAAAGTCAAAAGCCTACTTATATCTTACAGATGTTGATTTATATATTCTTTAATAAATGTTTAAAGAAATATAAGCATCTATGTAATTTATCTAATTATAATAGATAATAGATAAATTATAATTAAATAATTTAATTATAATTTTCTCAGCTATCCCTGAGAATGCCCAAATAAATTATGGCTTTACCTTTTTAATTTGACAGGTTTTTAAAAATTGAAAGAAGAGAGAGAGGAAAAAGCTGCAATAGTTTCTCCCCATCCCACTTGAATATTTCCAAGCCTCACAGTCCTCAATCCTCTTATTTTAAACTTCAGCCCTAGAACAAAAATCAGAAGACTTCAGATGAAAAATAATGTTTGAGCTTCCTATTGATGGCCACCTTCTTTCTTTATTAATGAGGTGTTATGTTTTTGTTTTTGTTTTTTTAAGTATTTGCCTATCTATGTCCATATCAGTTATTACATGGTATGTATGTACATATAGGGATTCCATAAAAACATGGAAAATACATACACTGTTATATTATTCAGCCATCAAAAGAGTGAAGTACTTGTACATTATACAACAGGAATTAACCTTGAAAATGTTATGCTCAGTGAAAGAAGACGCATTGTCCAATCTTCTGTTCTGACTTAAACCTGAACACCCTCCTCTCTGGAGGTCCCCCTTCCCCAGCCCATATTTTCAGACCAGGTCAGGCTCATCATTTCTGCATCTTTGGGGCAGAAGTTTGGCCTAACTCTTAGAGTTGCTGTACCTTTGAAACCCTGTAGTCACAATGCCTGGGCTTTATAAGCTTTTCATGTATTCGTAGGACCCAAACACAAGCATTTACAGACTCTCAGTTATATAGGTTAGGTTAAATGTACATGAAATATAATTTAAAGATATAATCTGTAATTTTAAATGGATACATTTTTATAAAAATTTTGCAAAAGATGCCATGAGGAGGCCAAGTGGTTATCTTGACTCACTCTGATAACTTTAGATATTTTTATTCACTTAGCTACTTGAGTTAACATATTAATATGGAATACAGGTGTTTCAGCAGTGTTACTGAACACTGACATGATGTCAGAAAGCCAAAAAGTGAAGACATTTTAGAAGTCTCCTCTCTGGCCTTCAGTTGTTCTCCAAGGCCTCAGAATTTGCCATTCTGTAAGGGAACACCACAGAGCATGTTGGGACGGTGGTGACCACACCCCTGAGTGCAGGACCTAGGCAGACCAGCCCTATCAGTGGCATCTCCTCCTCCCCCCGCCCCCGCCCCGCCTCTTTGCCCCTGAGTCTTTCTGCCCTGGTGGAGGTGGGAGCAGCAAATCTCTGGCCCAGATCCAGGCTCCGTGTTCCAGGTCAGTAAGCAAATCCATTTTCTGGCTGGCCACCCCTGACACCACTGGTCCTGAGAGTTGAACTTGCCTTCCTGGGTGGGGGGCTCTTGGATGGGGGAAGAGTGAAGGGCACCTCTGCAGTTTTGAGTTGACTCTAGTTTGGGAAGGGAGCACAGAAGAGGGACCTTCGGAGCTAGGAGTAGACTCTGAAGATAGTGATGGTTAAACCTGATTGTGGAAGCTAAAGAATGTGGAGAGGCAGCTCTGGAAAAGCTGGTGGGGAATGACAGCAAAGCATGGACTCAGAGGTCAGCGGCCCCTCCCCCACCCCTGCCTTGACTAAGGGAGGAGCACTGTTTGCCCTCCACCCTGGAGGCCCAGACCTTGCCCTGAGGGAGTTGGGAGCTGAGCCGGACCTCGCTCAGCCGGACTTGCGGGCAGGAGGGGGAGGAGGCCTGCCTGTCTCTGAAAGGGGCAGGGCCACATTGTGTAGTCAGTTGTGTTGGGGTGCTGGGGGAGGGGGAGATAAGAACACCGAAAGAGTGAGCGCCCTCTGTTCTTCAGTCTATTTAAAACTCCTGCTGCCGGAGCCCTGGGCCTGCGACTGAAAGGTCCTAGATTCGATTCCAGGAAAGGGCATGTACCTTGGTTGCAGGCACATCCGGGTGGGGAGTGTGCATGAGGCAACTGATCAATGTTTCTCTCTCATCGATGTTTCTAACTATCCCTCTCCCTTCTCTCTGTAAAAAATCAATAAAATATGTATATATTAAAGACAAAAGAAAAAAAATTTTTGGTCTGCTGTGGGGAGGCCTGACCACCTGGTGCTGCTCACACCTGGAGCTTCCCTGGCTCCTCCTCCCCCCCCCCCCCCCCCCCCCCCCCGTGCCCATCCCTGGCTCCTCCTTCCCCTCCCTGTGCTCATCACTGGCAGGTACCCCCTCGGGGCTGCTCTGTCTGGGCCGCTCCTTGTTACTTCTGGCCATGAAAGGGTGACAGGGCGGTGACAGAGATGAGTCCCTTCCCTGAGGGAGTTCATGACTTAGATAATTGTATCTTTCTTTTTCATCCTCACTGCCGAGGAGCTCCAGGACTTTTAACCAGTCATTCAATGCAGACAGCATGTGTGTTTCAGAGCGTGGGCAGTGGGCGCTGCAGCCTGTTCCATGCTTGCCTCAGACACTTACATGCTGGCTGTGAGCCCCCCACCTGTTACTGAGCTTCATTTCTCACATCTACAAAATGGGCAGTGTAATATTCACATCCTAGAGTTTTGGTGAGGCTTAAGTGAGGCAGAAGTTTAAATATGCCAAGTGGAATTACTGTTACTGTTACTCAAAAACTATTGAGTTATTATTGACAAATGCAATGCCTACCTTTAAAAGAAATGCACACAAGTTTTGAAGTAGTGTAGGGAATAAAATATGGTAAAGTGCACTATGATAAAGAAAACATGTTTACTGACATCTAAACAAGTTAAAAAAACAACAATTATGAATTATAAGTGGAATTTCACAGATGCAGGAAAAATCAAACATAAATATTTTATAATTTATTCTTAAAAAAAAAAACAAACCCTCAGTTAATGGATGATCTCAGAAAGATGGAAACCTATGCAGGACAATATTTTAAGAATTTGCAAAGCTAAGAAAAAGTTTTTGAAATGCACGGGATAGTGATTCTTTTGAAGTGAAGTTTTAAAAATATGTATTTGAAGCTGATTATGTTCCAATTCAAATACTTGTAGAGTGCCACTTTTTAGATAATCAATCCCAGATAACAGATCAAAGTGGAATATAATTCTACACAAAGATAAAAAGACTATATTCCCTAAACACAAAAAGCCCAATTTACTTAACTTTACAATTGCAATTGCCTCCTATTTACCCTGTTTCCCCGAAAATAAGACAGTGTCTTATATTCATTTTTGCTCCCAAAGATGCGCTAGGTCTTATTTTCAGGGGATGTCTTATTTTTCCATGAAGAAGAATACGGTACACATTTATTGTTAAATGAAAATAAAGGAAATTTATTACCTGTATACGGTACGGTAGTACGGTAGTTGTCAACATAAACCAGACAAACTGAATCCTACAGTATCAAGAATTTACTCATTTATTCAATGACAATCATGTCATCATCTTCTGGAACATCATCATAACAATCCAATTCCTGAATTTCCTGTTGAATTTCTTGTGACTCCATTTCTTTCAGAATCAGTGGACCAAATCTCTCATGTTTAACCTAGGGGGGCCTTATTTTCGGGGGGGGGATGCCTTATATTTCACTCAGAAGGAAACCTGTAAGTAGGTCTTATTACACTGTAGGTGTTTACTTCACTTTCACTAGAGCTTTTAGTGGAGGGGGTGTAACCTTTAATAGTTTCTGCCCAGTCACTGACTTTATTGTGAAAGCTATTTTGATGTCCAGTTGTGAAAGCCTAGTGAATCTGCATAAAGAGATCCACTGGACTCCAGTGCTGCTAGTTAGCCGACCTCTTGACCTTTTTAAGGCTTTTGTTTTATATTTAACTGTTCCCATCTAATCCTGAATTTGGCCTCTTTCATTTGCTAATTTGATCCTCAGGCACCTACAGCCTCAAGCTGTGGGTTCTGCTCTTCTCACACCACCAGACTGGCAAATCTGCT